GGACGGAAAAATTAAACAGAAGAAAAAAAAAACGATAGACAAGAGAAAAGAACACAAAATGAAAGGAGAAATTTTATATATACAGTGATGTTCGATAAAAGTGACTCGCCTGATTTTTTTTTTTACTAAATGTTCTCTTCTCCAATGAAACGAAAGTTGAACTAAATTCAAAAGATAAGCGATCTAAAATCCGAAGAAGAAGCTTTGAAAGCTCTTTTTGAATTTAGCAGTAAGTTTGTCAATCATCCATTCAGTATAATGTTCTGGGGATGCTTTTTTCTTTCCATGGAACTGGTTTCTAAAACCTATTGAAAAGACTCTCAGGAGCGAGCAGTACAAGAGAATTTTAGAGTCTTGTCTGCTCCCTTCTGCTGAAAAAGGTGCAAATCGACCCCACTAAAGCTCATTTTTTATGCAGGATAATGCTCCCTGTCACAAATCAAAATTGATGAAGGAATACTTTGATGAGAAGCAGGTGAGTGTTATGACATGGCCGCCCCAATCTCCTGACCTCAACCCCATAGAAAACCTATGGAGCATTATAAAGTACAGGCTTTCGAGAAAGCAGTTGAGCAACAAAGAGGATTTGATTGTGAATTTCATATCCGAATGGAATTCAATGCTTGGAGATGAGATTTGCCAGAACCTAGTCAAGTCAATGTCAAAAAGGGTTGAAAAGGTTATTCAAAATAAAGGAGGACCCATAGATTCATTAAATATTTTGAACAATATTACCTATTATAAATAAATTATACCTCTATTATTCTTTATTTAAAGCTGTTCGGTTATGTTTCTATTGATTACTAATTGCAGGAAATAAGTGAGTCACTTTTTGCATAGAGTTAGTCCCTAAATCTCATTTATAACGAAAATTATAATTATTAATAGAATACCTTAGGGTGAGTAAACTTTTTTGCTAGGTGGTCGGGAAGGGGTCTTTATATTAGTAAGATTAAAAATTAGTTTGACCCCAAAAACAATAGGCGAAAAAAATGTAAAGTAAAAAAAATCAGGTGAGTCACTTTTATCGAACAGCACTCTATATATATATATATATATATATATATATATATATATATATATGTGTGTGTGTGTGTGTGTGGAGAGAGGGAGAGAGAGTTAGGTAAATCAAATGACCAGATATAAGCAAGCATATACGCCCATGCTGGTGTCAATACTCGGGCAAGCAGAGAAATAATAAGCAAATTTAGTCATGCATAATAGTTTGTTTTTTTTTTTGCTAGACTTTTCACGGTCTGGTTCATCATTTTTAAATAGTAGTTTTTTTCTATTATTATTGAATTTTTTTACCCGGACATCAGTTTGTGTAATATTATTTTTATTTACAAATTGTATCGTCACGTCTGTTTTTTTTTTTTTTTTTTTGTTTTTTTTAATACCGCCAGAGTTAAGTATAAAAAATAATATATATGAAAAGTATATGAAGATTCCAACGGTTAACTCAAATTTCTTGCTCTCTGGCTATAGATTTGCACTTAAAATATATTTCTAGCCTCTCCGTCAATCTTCTTCCTCTTAAACAGGAATGGAGGTTTCCCATGATTTTTTTTTTTTTATTAGAACTGGATTTTCCAGTGCTTTTTCTCATTCTCTTTTAATCACAATCGACCCTTGCATCTTAGTGTCATTATCTCCTTGCTTGAGGTGAAATGATTAAAAAAAAAATAATAATACAGCCGTTAGGAAATGTCTTTAATCATAATATATATATATATATTTAAATGGCCTATTAAACTCGTATCCGTATTTATGCTTTCATAACGACCCCCTATCATTGAGCACGTCCTTTTGGGGTGGAAAGCGTGCCCAGAATGCTTACAGAGATATAAATGTACTCTTTGCCCTAACAAAAAAAAAATCAAATAATAGCTATGTTTTTAATCGACACCTGTGTTTAAGAAAATAAAGTAGCCTGTTCAGCTCATATTTGCGTCTCTGCGTTAAGAATGACCCTATCGTTTAACGATCCATTACTGGTGCGAACATAATACTAGATGCAGTTTGCACTCACGCTAAAAACAAACGGTTACTTAAAATCGATGTAGTATAAAATTGATTAAAAAAAAAATGATCCCCTGAGTAACGACGAAAATGGAAATATAATGAGCCACTAATACTTGACATCAGAAAGAGACAATTGAAATTTCTTGGGGACGTAATGAAGAAAGGGGGCATGGAAAATCTGATGCTCACAGGGCAGATTGAAGGCAAGAGGGACAGAGGAAAACAACGCATTTAGTTAGTGAGCTAGAGTAAATGGTGGAGGCGAGATAACAAAACGACAAAATTTATAAAGAGCTTCAAAGAATAGCAATTTTTGGAGAGCCATAATTGCCCACGTCTTGAGGGCACAACGCACATAAGAAGAAGAATATTAAAAACTGCAAGCAGAAAACTCAAAACTAATTAACTGCAAAAGTAATTAAAAGTATTTGTTTTTCCTTGATAATTTAAACAAGAAGAAATCTTACTTGCGTTTTCTAAAAGGTTGATAAAGTCCGTTGCTTTCTGAATAAAATCCTACAACTCGCAGTTGTTGTGAATGAGAAGTATTTTTGTTCGATAGTAGTTGTAAATAAAATATGTCTTTCTTCGTCATCGAATTCTGTTTAAATGTAACACGCACAAGTAAACATAGATTATAATACAACTAAAACTAACACGCGACCAATCAGATGACTAGCCTCAGTGTAACACGAATCGAAGTTCAGTTTTACCTTTCAGTCTAATCAGTGTCAACCCAAATTGTCATACACAAGTGCACAAAAAAAAAAAAAAAAAAATCACCCAGAACATTACTAAAGCTCAATGAAACACTCATACGGAATTTATCTTTAAAAACCACGCCTCTTTTCCCCCACCCAAACCACATATTAAGTAAAAATAACTAGTTTTGTATTGTAATTTTCATTCAAAGCATTATAAACACCCTCTGTCAAGTTAGTTTGTCGGAGTTAACTCCTCCTTCACTCCGTTAACCCTTTCACCAAGAGTCTCTCTTCCCTGGCTATAAATAGCCGCTGATTCTTCGCCTCTATCTCTTTTTCCTTCAGGCCTGTGCACCAACACCTCGAGGTAAATTTCTCTTTTTCCTTCAGGATTTCAGCTATCAACCTCGAAATGTAGACGCTAACAAGGGATAGCGTGGAAACACGCTAAGCACAATATTCACACACGCACACACATACAGAATATTCACACACGCACGCACATACAGAATATTCACACACACACTTCATCCTTTGTACTGTTTCAATGTATTGTAACTTGTTATTAATATATATTTGTATATACATATATTATCGGTCTTGTGTTTTGTTTGCTTTCTTTGACTTCTTTGGATTTAATCAAAGTCCAACCTTTTTATGTAGTTGGGCTCGGCGGGCAGGAGAATCTGAACCTTACATGCGTTTCTTCTACGTCTGACTTCTATCAACAACATAACCGCCACGCCATGAACCCTCAACAAGTGGTAACCGCCACGGCCCCACTACAAGTTCGCCTATATCGTTCGGTTGACACTTACCGTGAGTTTTTTTTTTTTTTTTTTTTTTTTCGCCGGAGTTATGGTATAAGTATAAAAATATAAAAAATAATATATATGAACAGTATATAAAGATTCCGACGATTTAACTTCTTGCTCTCTGGCTAAAGATTTGCACTTAAAAATACTTCTAACGTTTCCACCTAAATTTTATATATTATTTATTTTTTGCCTTCATTAGGAGTAAAGAGTGTTCGCTATCGCCCAGTTCACTCTTCTTCTCCTTCTATTTAACAGGAATAGGGGTTTATCCCTTGTTTTCTGTTTAGAATTGCGTTTTCCGGTGCCTTTTCTCATTCTCATTCAATCCCAATCGACCCTTGCATCTTATTGGCATTATCTCCTTGCTTGGGGTGAAATGATTTAAAGAATAATAATAATACAGCCGTTAGGAAATGTCTTTTAATCATAATATATATATATATATATATATATATATATATATATATATATATATATATATGACCTATTAAACTCGTATCCCTATTTATGCTTTCATAATGATCCCCATCGTTGAGCAATGTCTTTTCAGGGTGGAGAGAGCGTGTCCAGAATGCTTACAGAGATATAAAATGTATTCTCTGTCCTAAAAAAACAAAAAAAAATCAAACAGACAATAGCTGTTTTTAATCGACCCCTGTGTTTAAATAAAAAGTAGCCTGTTAAGCTCATATATGCGTCTTTGCGTTAAGTATGACCCTATCATTTAATGAGCCTTTACTTGCGGGAACATAACTCGATACCTAATGGATGTAGTTTGTCCTCACGCTAAAAAATAAATGGTTACTTAAAATCGATGTAGCATGAAATTGATAAAAATCAAACATGCTTGAACATTATATATATATTTCAAGCATGTTTGGTTGAATAATCTGGGCATATTATGTCTATTTATTTTTATTGTAATCCTCTCGAATTCTCTCATCGACTTCTTAATGTTGATGTTAAATCCGTTAAGGAAGGCGCCATAGTTTTTTCTTTTCTTTTATTTTCATTTTTTTTATTTTATTTTTTCAAGATCATCTTCAGGGGTGAATTGCTAATTCACCCCTGAAGATGATCTCAGATGAGATTGAAAGTACTTGAGAAAATAAAAATGAAAAGAAAAGAAAAAAACTATGGTGCCTTCTTTAATGGATTTAATATTGACATTAAGAAATTGATGAGAGAATTCAAGAGGATTACAATAAAAATAAAGACATATTTGAATGAAGATATGCTGTCTGTCTCTCTCATTCATATATATATATATATATATATATATATATATATATATTATAGTATTGGATCTGCGGGTATTTAATAACTGCAAATTGAAAACACCAAAAAGAAAATAAAACAAGATTTTAGAGAAATATTTTAAAGAAAATTTGGAGATTTTATTTACTCAAGAGACGTACAAAGCCAATGTTTGAAGAATACTCATCCAGTAAAA